TACTCAAAACTCAAAAATTTCGGCTGCCTATGCTTCCCTTGGCTTCGGCCTTATATAACCCATAAACTACAATCCTGATCCACCCCTTGTGTCTTCTTAGGCTATTCCTTAACTCAAAGTGCGTATCTATGCCTTGACCCAAAAACAACCCGTGTTTACACATCCCGACATGTGAGATTTGATAAAAATCAATTTCCGTTCCCATCTCCTGTTACTTCACAACCACCAGTCACTGAAAATTTCCCATCATCGACACCCTCCGCCATCTCCATACCCTTCTTCTCGCCACTCATTACAGCGTAATCGGTGCCCTTGGAGCAACAAACGCCGCCGTCAGATGATCGCTCTTCTGAAAATTCAGCACCGTGACTTCCGGTGGAATCACCGGCCACCGCAGCAACACCGGAATCATCGAACAACGACTCCTCCGACTCTACCAGCTCTCAATCATCAGACTCTGCCCCAACACAGTCTCTGAATCTCTCCTCCTCAAACACTTCCGATGAACCCTCATCATCATCCCAAAACACTCAACCAGATAATTCAAACCAACATGCGCCCCAAGCCCAACAAACCATTCCTACACAACCACCAAACAATCCGTCCAAACCAAAAATACCCAATAACCAACACAATATGGCAATCCGGGCCAAACATGAAATTGTAAAGCCCAACCCAAAATACATAACCCAACTAAACCCAAAACCAGCCAAACGAAAACCAGCCCTTACCACTATTGTAGCCTCTGCCATTGAAACAGAACCACGATACCTCACCCAAGCTCTCAAATCCAAATACTGGCGTGGGGCTATGTCAACCGAATTCGACTCTCAGCTTCGACATCGCACCTGGAATCTGGTACTGCCCTCTCCTCAATACAACGTTGTTGGCTGCAAGTGGATATTTCGGGTCAAGCAGTTACCTGATGGAAGCCTCGACAAATACAAAGCCAGGCTCGTCGCGAGGGGTTTCAATCAACAACAAGGCATCGATTACCAAGAGACCTTCAGTCCAGTGATAAAATCCATCACCATACGCTCCATTCTCAAGGTGGCCATAAGCAAAGATTGGCCACTTCGCCAAATCGATGTAAATAATGCGTATTTGCAAGGAACTCTAAAAGAAGAAGTATACGTTCATCAACCTCCGGAATTTGTGGATCCGGACAAACCACTACATGTCTGCAAACTCAATAAAGCTTTGTACGGGCTTAACAGGCACCGCGAGCTTGGTATCTCGAATTGAAGCAATATCTAATACAAGCTAGATTCAAGAACTCTGTCTCTGATACATCGCTATTTGTGCTAAATCAAGGTACCATTCTGATCTATCTCCTAGTCTATGTGGATGACATAGTGGTCACGGGAAATAACACTGCTGCTGTTGAGAACATTCTTGTGAATCTGACAAATCACTTCTCCGTCAAAGATATGGGAGCTCTTTCATACTTTCTGGGCATCGAAGTGACTCGAACCACAACTGGCCTCCACCTGAATCAACGCAAATATATTCATGATCTACTCAGAAAGATGAATATGATGGACGCCAAACCCGTCAGCACTCCGATGGCAATATCTCCTAAACTAGTTCTCTCGGGTGAACCACACAATGATCCAACAGAGTTCCGCACACTTGTTGGAAGCCTGCAATACTTGGCATTCACTCAGCCGGATATAGCTTTCGCCGTCAATAAATTATCACAATATATGCATAAGCCAACCGTAGATCACTGGCAAGCAGCAAAGAGGGTTCTCTGGTATCTCGCAGACACAGCAACACACGGTCTCTTCATCAGTCGTGAACCCAGCTTAAACCTTCACGCCTTCTCTGATGCTGACTGGGCTGGGGATTCAGATGATTTCACTTCCACAAATGCATATATTGTCTACTTGGGTGATCAGGCGATATCATGGAGCTCCAAAAAGCAGAAGGGTGTAGCAAGATCATCAACCGAAGCAGAGTACAGAGCGGTGGCAAATACAGCATCAGAACTTAATTGGGTACGCTCTCTATTGTCTGAACTTCGAATTTCGATTGTCACTACACCGACTGTTTACTGCGACAATATCGGGGATACGTATCTTTCGGCAAACCTGGTTTTTCACTCTCGCATGAAACATGTGGCTTTGGCGTACCATTTCATTTGAGAACAAGTGCAGGCCGGACAACTTCGAGTGTCGCATGTATCCACCAAAGATCAACTTGCGGACACACTCACAAAGCCACTTAATCGAAGCCCATTCATTTCACTTAGAGACAAGATTGGAGTTTCGCAAGCCCCTCCATCTTGAGAAGGCGTATTAGAATCCTTGATTACAGTAATTCGGATATGATTGAATCAATGATTCAATCACTCTTCAATGTACATATATTTAGTTTCTGTAAATACTCTACTCTCTCTATATAAATGTGATCCTCTATGGAATAATACAAAAACAACATTCACACACTTCATACATAGTTTATACCAACATCGCATTCACGACTCCTTTGAGGTTTACAGAGTTTACCAAGATTCCTAAACCACTTGACCAAGCCAATAACCGAGTCAAATCAGCCCAACCCAAAGTAGAAACTACCATGAAGACAGTTACCTTAAAAATGATTCATTATCTTTGTTTCTTTGGAAAGCAAGACCAGTTCTCTCTTATACTTGAAGATCTTGACCCTACATTCAAGTCAACACATGCTGGACGTCCATACAAGTCGGAAGAGTCAAAGATCACACCATTTCGTCCTCCACATCAAGCCATCTCACAAATCAAGCAAATCCTTTCCATTGAGCCAAATGTCTAGTCTTTTATCACACCATACTTTCAGCCTTTGTTATTAATCATTGTTACCGTTTATTACATTTACATTTGAACCTATATAAGCTTAACATCGTTGTACTTTCGAAAGTTACCAAGAAATAATCAAGTAAACCCTTTCGTTTTGTTTACAAAGAAAATTTGTTTGCATCGAGTATGACTATTCTTGTGAGTATTAGCCCTTGAAGAGTTAGAATCTAAATTCTGGTGTTTGGGATTCAAGCACAAAAGCTTTATCAATTAACAAACCATTCCTCCATCTATTTAAGCTTGAAAATCAGATTCAAGAGTGTATAACTTGGAGCAATCCAGTCTTACATCATTTGTCTTTAATATTATCAGAAGACGATAAAAAAAAAACTCTATCCTTTTCTCTACATTAATTTTTTTTTTTTCAGAAAATCAGATCGAAGGTGTTTTTCGAAAAACAAGCATGTACTGATATGGTTAATCTCTCTCTTCAGTGACAGAATTTAGCCTAAATTTAATGTTTGAAAGTAGATTAACGGGATGAAGCATTAGTCAAAAAGGTATTTAGTTAACAATGTTACCGTCAAATACAAGAATTGACGCACCAAAAGGTCCAAAACATTTCTCTGTTTCATAATCCTACAACAGCTTCTCCGTTAGTCTTCTAATTGAAACTTTTAACCAATCTACATGAAGAAAATCATTTAACCAGTCTAAAAGTGAAGAATTTTGGATCAAATTCCGATTCAAAAAAAAAAACTAGCATCTGATTGAATCAGTTCAATTATAAGCACTATCCACAAATTAGATAGAGAGCTGTGTATTTTGCTATAGATTTTTTGTTTGATGAGAGACGATAATTACGTTTTTAGCTTTTCATACACGAAATACGTGGGTTTAAAATTGGGCCAAAATCATCATCTCAAAATACCAAACAAAGAAACTACAATCCCAAACAAAACTAGACAGACAAGTTATAACAAATATAACAAAAAGTAGAAAATAATAATCTCAGGCCAAACGCTAAACAAACATCATTAATAGCACATAAAATATATAAATTTCTTGTTTATGTGACTGATTGATTAGCTGAACAGCTTACATTCTTCTGCAGAAAAATTGCTTTGAGCAGTTGTGTATAAGTTATGCAAACGAGATTAATGTATGTGACTCCAACTAGCAAGAGGTAGAGTGTTCCCTTCCTGATTGAACAATACGAGCATTCACATAGCACTAAAATCTCGGTTGTTTTCTAATCCAAGGTGTTAAATATTTTCTTTCTACTGTTTCAGTAATATATCCAGGATATGGCATTGAACCAAACATTATCTTAGTCTCTTTGAAAAGGTTTATAATAAGAAGAGATATAGAAATTTGATAGCAAACATGAACTAGTCTGTTTCATGAATGCTTCTTGACAAACAAAAAAAAAGTGAACTGCTTTCCACTTTTTATGCTTCAAATTAATGTATGTGACTCCAACTATTTCTATAGTGAGATTGTGAATTTGTTTATTAACTTCCTTGAAAAATGAATATCTTATATATACAGCAAACGGTAAATGTTTTGGTCTAGCGTGCAGTGCAGGTAAGCGTAGTTAATAACAAGTGAGAGAGTGTTTAACATGAAGATCAGAAGTGCGTGTAACTAAACCTTGATCGGACCATGAAGGGCCATATTTCTATTTCTGAAATATTGGAGGAACAATGTGAAGTTTAAAGTATCTTGCAGGCTCATTTATTAATAAAGTAAAAGTTATTACCAGATCTCGTGTCGGGTTCGGGTTAGGGTTCAGTTTCGGGTTTGGATCAACCCGAATCATGATATCACAATGAAATTGGACTGCGGTCCCAGAGGAAATGAGAGAGTCTCACGAGTTCCGTCTCGTCGTCATAATGGCGTCCGGTGATCGGAGGAATCAGCCGCTGTCTCCTCCGACGCCTTCTCGGAGGTTTCGCGAATTTCTTTTTCACTGCTTCTTCGGTCTCTCAGTTCACTGATTACATTCTGTTCATCTCTTTGTTCAAGAGAAACGCAAAGTTTATATGATACTACTACACTGTGTTTCTGAATATCCCCTTGAGAAGCATTTTCGAGATTTTTGGTTGCAAAAATTCCTCGTAAGTAGCAAAAGTTGATGTTTAGTAAAATCGAATTTTCATAAGAAGAACGAAGCAGATTCTCGTTCTTTTGGATAACTTCATACTAGAATTTCGATTTATGGGGTTTTACAGCTCAATCAATTAGATTTCATAACTTCGTCTGAGATTATACACTAACTTGTGGTTTATGGAGATTTTACCAGTTTTATGCTGTCTAATGAAGACGAAGAGCCTTTGGTATTGGCTTTTGATTATTATTCTATAGCATAGTTATTGTGGATCATAGCATGAATTAATAGAACATATAGCATTGTCTAAGAGATGTTCATATGCAGGACTTATATTGTGGATCATAGCATAGTAACAGAAAATGTAAGAAATGTAGCATTGTGATTGTGTGTGAAGATGTTTATATGCAGGACTTATTGGGGGATCATAGCATATATAAGTAATAGAACATGTAAGTATTATGGCATTGTGAATCTGCGACTGTGTGAGAAGATGTTCATTTTCTGAACTTATTGAGGATCATAGCATAAGTAATAGAATATGTAAGAACCGTAGCATCGTTTTTGTTTCCTAAGAAGAATGTTAATGCGCAGGAGCTATTGGAGGGATTTTTAGTGGTGCTTTGCTTGGACGACTTCAAGGTTCCTTGTTCTATTCTACTTTTGTCTTCCCTAATTTTTCCATTAATCTTTATGAAACTCCCTGAAAATTTGGGTGTCTTTATGCTCTCAAGTAGTCTGGCTATTGGCTACAATAAGATCACATCATAATAAGTTAATAACTCTGCCGCCTGAATATATTGGAATTATGGGTGTCAAAATGGATCCAAATTTATGGGTTGACCCAACCCACTTTGATCCATAAACCTTATTGGGTTGAAAAATTTGATACTAATGGATTGATAGATCAATTGGATTGGTAAGTTAATTGGGTTAGTTTAAAATAGTTTAATTTATTTTGGGTTAATGGGTAAAATGGTTAACATGTTTAAACCTAATATGTTTTTTAATTTTAGTCATACGATATTATCTTCTTCTTTCTCTCTCGATCTCTTTCTCCTTTGATCTCTTTCGATCTTTTTCTCCATCTCTCTCGATCTTTTTCTCCATCTCTCTCAGACCCTTTTTCAATCTCGTACTCTATCTTCATTCCCTCAATTTCGATTTCTTTCCCTCGATCTCTATCTCCCCCACTCTCTCTCGGATTTGAAGTCATCGACGGATTCTCGCCGGAGCTCCTGCTTTCACAGGTGCGGTGAAATGGATTTTTGATTATACCCACGAGCTTTTTTCAGTGTTTCCGAAGGTAGATCGCGATTCTAAGATTTGTAGCTTTCGTTTTATTGCTATGAGAAATGATCCGTGCTTAGTGTGATTCTCTGATTTTGGTTAAAGAGTACGAAACAATTCAAAATTTATGTGAGCTTAGTTCATGACTTTAATGGTTATCTCTTACTTTTTGAGTCTCGTAAAAGTGAAAAGAAGATTAGTTTAATTTGCTAGTTTAATTTGCCTTCAGACTTATAATTTGTTTTCAGTCTTTGAATCATAGCACGTAACGAATAAAGTTGATATTTTTGGCAAAATCATCTCTTCTACTTGGATATTTTTATAGTTATGCTTATGCTGAATGTGTTTCGTGATGTTTTTTTGGCTCCTCTTTTAGTCAATCGTGGAAGATCTTAGACCAGATTCATCTATGCCAATGGAGAATGAAGAAGAGAATCTTCAGGGTGGTGGTATTGTGGGGCAATCATCAACAGGGACATCAAGTCTAGTAAGTTCTTCTACTAATAGGAAAAAAAGTAAGACATCTTCTATGTGGAATTACTTCAAAGTAGAAAAAGATGAGAATGGTGAAGAAAGAGCATATTGTTTGAAATGCTCAAAAAATTATGCGTATACATCAACTAGTGGAACATCAAATCTGAAACGCCATAGCAAGGTTTATGGATCAAAGTGGGTTGGGTCAACCCATAAATTTGGATCCATTTTGACACCCATAGGTTTAAAGTAGTTGACAAAAACTATAAATATTGTCCCTCAAATGAAGAATGGAAAAGAGCTAAGATTATTCATGAGATCTTGAAGTCTTTTTATAGTATTACATCTTTAATGTCATGAAGAAGTTATTCTACTTCTAATTTATATTTTGCTCATGTATGGAAGATTCAGTGTGTGTTAGAAGTGAATAGAAGCAATGAAGACACTATCATTAGAACTATGATTTCTAAGATGAGAGCAAAATTTGATAAATACTGGGAGGAGTATAGTGTTGTTCTTGCAATGAGAGCAGTTTTAGATCCTAGGATGAAGTTTTAGCTTTTGAAGAGGTGTTATGATGAACTCGATCCATTTACTTCCCAAGAAAAAATGATCTATTTGGAGAGTAAGCTTCTTAAGCTCTTTGAAGAATATAAGAGAAAATATCCTCTCACTCCTGTTGTGAGCTCTACAAGATCAGACTCTCTTGTTTATGAACAAGGAGGAGAAACTCATGGCGTCTTAGATGTAAGTTTCAAGTTTACTAATCTAACATTTATTTATCTTTTTTAGATTGTAACATGCTCATATTTCAAATGATACAGGATCTATTTGAGTTAGATGATATTCAAGATGTTATGGATGAAGGAAAGTCGCCATTAGATATGTACTTAGATGAGCTAAAATTAGATATGAGAAGTCATCCTCATTTGAACGTGTTGCAGTATTGGAAAGATAATAGTCGTCGGTTTGGTGCATTAACATACATGGCGATGGACATTCTCAGCATTCCTATCACCACTGTGGCTTCTGAATCTTCTTTCAGTATTGGGTCTCATATAATTAACAAATACCGGACTCGACTTCTACCTAGCAATGTACAAGCTTTGTTGTGCACTCGCTCTTGGTTATTTGGCTATAAAGTTGATGATGAAAGTATAAGAGTGATTATAAATTTTCTTTAAGTTAGTTTATGCATCTATTAACTCTGTTTTCTTGTCACTTGTGAATTTGTAGATGACAATGACGAAGGTGAAATGGTTACTATTCGAGCAGAACCAACTGCCGAAGTCTCTTCCTTGTTCAATCTGCCGAAGGATCTCTCTGCATTATTTGACGAAGAGACTTTGGCAAACACATTAATCACATTTACATTCAACTCCTACCATGCATTATTTGATCACATCTCTCATACTGACTTGAAGAAATTGAAAAGAGGCTAAAACATGCAAAAGCCGAATTCTATATTAGATCATAAATAGCAAAAGCACATGAGTTCATAATTGACTATATCAGTTATCTTTTTCAAAACGAGATGATCAAACAAACAATTAAAAGTATTGCAAAATGAGACTAGTTAATAATCTTTTTCTTTCCTTTTACTTACACCAAACATGGAACATAAGAAGAGAGCACAGTTGGGAAACGATCTATATGTTGGTCGGATTTCGGAGCTCCGTAATTCACAGATTTGAAGTAACCATCTTCTCCAATGACATAAACTGTTCGGTAGCTACACATATTGACCACAACAACTTTTTTTTCCTCGTCAATGAAGAAGCTCCCAGCCTTAATGTTGCGCGGATAACCAGGCTCCAGGATACTTTATTGGGATCAATCTTAGTCGTAATCCAAATCTCTATAATCTCACTTATCTCATATAACAAAGCGAGCTGCTCCTCTCTAACACAAGATAAAGCATGAAAGCACGAGCGCTGATCAGAGCCATCAGGCGACAGAGGAAGACACGGTCCAAATTTCTGTGCTGTGAAATCAAAACTGATAAAAAAAAATGCTTAAGACTTTCTAGATCTTCAGCAATCCAATAAGTATTTCCCTTCAAAGACACCATGCATGCAGCCAAATATTATTTTCTGGTCCGAAGTGAAATCAAGAACCGTCCATGAATTAGTGTTACAATCGTAGATTTTTCCACAACAAGCAATCGTGAACCACCTCAAGATTTTGTGGTTGCGGTTGTTATTGTCATATCCGAAAGCATACATGTCACATGCCTTCTTCCTAGGATGGATCCACCTGGTTTCTCCCAAATAGGGATTCCATAACATGAGCCTCGAAGGTCCCTTGTAGTTGAAAACTAACAGTAAGCCATTGCAGTGAAAGACTTCAGCAATCTCGGCAGCTTGGTTAAATATACTTAGTTGCTTTATAGATGGAACAACGAGGTCGCAGTCATTGCGGATTCTTTGGAGATCAAGTTTCATTGAACAAACCTCAAAGTCCATCACCGTGAACCCTAGAAACTGCTTCCTTGCTGTTGCTGCTTTGCCAAAAATTTGATTTTTGGATAAAGAGTTCCACGTTGTACAAGTAGATCGCACTGCCCTCAGAGATGTTAGCGGAATCCTAGTGAGGATCTCTCCTGTCAAATCTGCTGAAAGATCGGAAATTGTCGTCATTCTTTCAAACTTCAAGGTGTTGCTGCGATCTTGGATAACGTCTGATCCTCCGTCTTTTTTTGGTGCTGGACCGCCAGCAAAGCGGTGGTGGCTTGAAGTGGCGAAGAGGGGTTTTGGGTAGCTTGGACTGTCGGTGACTGACGAGTAAACCTGCTGCTCTTGAGGACGGTGGTGGGTCTTGAAAGGAGTTCCGGCGGCGGCTGTTTACGGCAACAGAAGCTTTCTGACGGCGTGAGACGTGGTATGGTCTTCTCTCCCACTAGCGTCTTCTTTTTGCGACCGGCTCGGCTACTCTGCTCCGAATCCCCTTCTCAAAGTCCTTTTGATGTTCTCCTCCGGCGTTCTTCGGCTCCCCTTCCAGTCGGTGGCGGTTTTGCTAAGGCGACAATGGATTTCTAGCTCTTCCTAGGGTTTCTTGATTCCATTTCTCCTTCTTTGGGGCCTAGTTTCCAATCAAGCCTTTTCTGCTCTTGGTTTCTTTAGACTTTTTTTTGGTTGGGCTTTGTATTTTGTTTTTTTGTTTCTCCCTTCTAGACTTTTTAGTTTATTTTTATTGTCTTCTCCTGTAATTTGTAAAACTCTCAAAAGTCCAACTTTTCGAACATCAAAAATATTTCTAGTATTTAATACGTTTTACATGCGGAAAAATTTTTTTTACAATATTTGAAATTTTATGATTATTAGGATGTATAATTTTTTTAAGTGAAACTAATGTATTCTTTGAATATATTATATGTTGATTTTAATAATATTGTAGCTTTGTTGTATGAATTCTGAGAATTGTATTAAAAGTGTTGTATTATGTGTTTTAGTTTAGTAGTTTTCAAATTATATTGTATTATCTGTGGTATGTATTTTTTTTAATTAAGTAGTTTTGCTTCAAAATTAAATAATTTTTAAAAATCATTGACAGAAATATTTGTGAAAATTTTATTATATAAAACATAATATGTAATTCAAAATATAAGTTTGTTGTTCGTAGTTGCTTCGACTAGCTGATTGATACGAGGGAGAGGAAAGTTGTCTTTGGGGCAGGTCATATTGAGATCTGTGAAGTCTACACAGACTCGCCATTTCCTGTTCTTCTTCTTGACCACCACTGGGTTAGTTAGCCACTCCGGATATCTCACTTCGGCGATTGATCCGGCCTTCAGCAGCTTATCCACTTTATCGTGTACGGCTTGTGCCCGCTCAGGTCCCAACTTTCGTCGCTTCTGTTTGATCGGCTTAAAGGTGGGATCGACGTGTAATTCGTGATCGGTAATCTGAGGGCTGATGCATTTCATATCGGCCATGCGAATGTTCCAAAATTCTCCCGAAGAAAAGCAATCAGCTCGTCCTGCATACTTGGCAGAAGCTCTGTGCCGATGCCGACACAATGCTCGGAATGGGCGTTGTCGATGTTGACCTGAGTAATGAGATCGCTTTTCGGCTTTTCATGGTGGACTATCAGTGGGTCAAAATCGTTGCTATTGCCGATGACAAACGTAGATCCGTTACGGACACGCTGTTTGTCGATGTAGCAATGCCGAGATACCCTCTGGTCACCACGTATAGTGAAGATACGGTATCTGATCGGTATCTTAATGCACTGGTGATAGGAGGATGAGACGGCGCGCATGGTGTTTAACCCAGGATAACGTTGTAGATCATTAGTCGATCAATGACTTCGAACTTAACTATTACAGACTTTCCTCCGATGGTAACAGGCATTGTGATCATGCCGATCGTCGATTCAATATCGATTTTGATGTCTCCTTCAGTGATGCTCATCTTTTGTAAAGTGTCCATGAAGATCAGGTCGACGGAGCTGCATGTGTCGACTAGGATATTGGAGACGTCGTCTTCTCCAAGCCGAAGTGAGATGACGAGGGGATCGTTGTGAGGTCGATCTAGACCTTGTGCATCCTGTTCGGTGAATGTGATTGGGATATCGTCTTTGAACAATGGTGGAGCGTCTTGTAGTGGATTGGGAGCTTTTCGCTCATGCCATTTGATCGAGTTGATCGAGTCAGTGCACAAGAGGAGTCCACCCATGATCATGTTGATCCGTCGTCTAGGTGAGGTTGGGGGTGTATGATCATTCTCCCGATCTCGCTTCATTTCCTTCCCCTCGCGTTTGGTGGATAGACGATCAACGTCGGGTCGTTTGTCTTGGTCACTGTCAAGTCGTCTGTCATGATTGTTGTCAGATCATCGCGATACACTATGGGGTTCGGGAATGCTGCATTTGCCATCCTCCCACTTTTTCCTTAAGAGTGTCGTGAGGGTGCGGCAATTGTCCATATGATGGCAATGTGCTTTGTGGTAAGTACAGTACAGCTTTTTACTTTCGGGATCTTTGGCGCTCTGGCGGTCCCAAATGTTCCAGTTTAATTGCCGAGGGATGGTGTTGATGTTCTTGCGACCCATGTCATCCCTATCATAGTGCTGCCGAGGCTCCTGATGTCTATCCTGATTCGATGATCGGGTTTTCT